CTCAAATTGATTTCTTCTGATTGCGACATATAGAAATGTTAGGCAGCGTTCCCACTACGCCGGACCGGCAGATCTGCCGAAAACCGGACACCGGACAGAGTGTTCACATTACATCGGATCTCGGAAGAAATTCAGACAGTCAAATACTTACCTCAGTTGAATTTGGACAAATGTAATTAAAGTTTCTGCTTTAATATCCATGCTAAACGTCTATTTTATCAGAAAATGCGAGCCGAATGACGTGAGTGGTACACGCGCGGGGTGAGGGGAATACGGGCGGGGGCCAGATACCGACAACAATAATATTCGGCATAATGTGAATAGCTTCATATAAATTGTACATCCACTAGCCCTTCCGGCAGATTTACCGGCGCGGCAGATCTGCCGGTCCGGCGTAGTGGGAACCCTGCCTTAGTATTTAATCTCGGTTCCTCCAGGTGTACACAAAGAAGATGATAAAGGAGGTAGTAGAGTACGGGTTGGTGCGCGGCGTGCGCGTCGTGCCCGAGTTCGACGCGCCCGCGCACGTCGGCGAGGGCTGGCAGGACACCGACCTCACTGTCTGCTTCAAGGTATGCTATATACGTGGCTTACAGGATTTCTAAAACTCATTTCCAAAATATTTATACTATAACATTTTCATTTAAATAAATAAAGTGCACTAAAACAAATAAATAAGCACTCAGATTACAAATTAAATGAAAAAGTATGAAAACAGAAGATACAAGTAGTATGTACCACAAACCTAAATTATTAACAACTAGCTGTTCCCGTTCGGCTTCCGCATGAAATTATGAAAATTTTATTTTATTGTTTCCATTTATCAAATTATCAATAGCAAATGTCAAAATGACATGACATGACAAAACTTGGCAATCTTTCTTTCTTGATGTTGGCAGCAAGTTATGGTCTCTTTCCCATATTAGGGTTTTTATCGAAAATGTTTCCCCCCTAAGTTTAATGGCGGGAAAATGTATAGCCTAAAGTGCTACGTAAGTGTAGGGCTTTTTATTAAAAAAATAATTAATTAAAAATATGCTGTACTTGCTGACATCTTAGGCAACAAAGAAGTGTGTGTTTACGCTTTATTATAATAGTATAGAGTATAGATAGATCCCAGTAGATTAGTAGTCAACTATCTTCCTTCCCTTTCTTTCACATACACTATTTATTTGTAGCTTCTCTGTCGCATTGGTTCGCTTGTGGTTCGTAGTGGTCCACTTGAGATATCCTGTTCCTTGCATCAAAACAAATTTCGCCCCTAGCAAAAACTTTTAGAATATGCCCAACGACTTAGCCCATGTTAAATTAATACATATAGCCTATATTACTCACAGATTAATTACCATTCTAACGGTGAAATAATTTTTAAAATTGGCCCAGTAATTTTTGAGTTATTCCGATATACAAAAATATTTTTTTTCCTCTTTATTATATTACTTAGTATGTCTATTTTAATATTTGCAGGCTGAACCGTGGGCTACGTACTGCGTGGAGCCCCCCTGCGGACAGCTCAACCCGACCAAGGAGGAACTCTATGATGTGCTCTTTAATATTTACAAAGAAATGGCAGGTCAGTCTTAAAAACTGCATATTATACCTATAATATGCTAAAAACATATTTTTATAAAATCAGTTATATTCAATATCAAGTTATCTATATATATACTAATAGAGGAAAGATTTGTATTTTTGTATTTGAAATGACTCAAAAACTACTTGGTCGATTTTAAATATTCTTTCGCCAATAGAAAAGAAATTTAACTGTGAATAACGTAGATTAACCCTTAAATGCATATTGTTGCCAAAAGTCTACGAACAAAATTATAGTTTTTATTGAAACCATGACTTTTTTTTATTTTTTTTACCTTAATCTGTGACTCAAAGCCTATACTGAAATATTGATTTTATAATAAAATAAAAAATCATGCATTTAAGGGTTAAATTTTTTAATGTCCTGCTTACGAAGTCTCGAACAACAATATACAACGGCCAGCTAATATGACTGAACAATAAAAATGAAGCTATTCTCTCTCTGACCTTTTTCTATTTCGATTGCGACTAGTAGTTGTTGGAAAAGTCATGTAAAGTACATGAATGAAGCGTTTAAAACCGACGTGCATATGAATATAGAAACGATAGAGGTGTTAGAATCGAGTGAAATGGTCTACCTACCCCTGCGTGTTAGGGGCGTGAGTTAAGAGCGTGTGGTCCGCAGAGACGTTCAAGACGACGGACGTGTTCCACATGGGCGGGGACGAGGTGAGCGAGCGCTGCTGGAACAGCTCCGCCGACATCCGCGCCTTCATGCTGCAGAACCGCTGGGAACTCGACAAGACCAGCTTCCTCAAGCTCTGGAACTACTTCCAGACTAAAGCGCAGGATAAGGCTTACAAGGTTATTACCGTTTTTATAAATGTCTCTCACTTTCTTTGTTTTTCTGTCTCTATCTCTTTCTTTTTGTTTTTCTTTCTCACCAGGATGTACAGAAGACAGAGATAGCTGTTTCTCGAACTAGCTCAGTCTTTGTCACTAGCTCTGTCTTCCTCGTGTTGTCTCTTTCTCACTCGCTTCTTTCTCCTAATTGGTTACCGCAATTTCTCTATCTTTGACCGAACTCTGTAATGAAATACTAGCTTTCGCTCACGACTCCGTCCGTGTCCGTGGAATATAAAAGACATAAATAAGTATGCTATGTGTTCTTCCGGACTATGCTTTACATGTATACCACATTGGACTCCGTTAAGCAGTTTAGGTCACAAACTCTAACAAACATCTATCTAAACCTTCGCATATTAAATAAGAAGTAAGATCTGATCTAACCATCATAATATTACTCTTTGAAGCAATTACAAGCAATTCTTATCTATCTACACGATTTTAAACATATTATTTGTTATATTGACAGGCGTTCGGTAGAAAACTGCCGCTCATTCTGTGGACCAGCACCCTCACTGAATACAGCCATATTGAGAAGTACCTCGACAAAAACGACTACATCATACAGGTAACAATTATTTCCATTTATTTAAGTAAATAAAACATAACAGTGCATGTACAGTCGCGGAAATTTGCAGTGTTCGATTTTCAGAAAGATTATTCTGTGTATTCACTAAAGGGGAAAAATAGTTAAAAAAAACGAAATTTTTATATATTTTTGTGATATACTCCTTTTCTTTTCTAACTTAAAGATTTTTAGTCAAAGGTAACGTAAACAGCCTGATATTAAAATATAAACGATTGTAGCCCTAGACGATTTAAAACCCCGGTTTTAAATTTGCTATTTAAGGGTAAAGTATTCATTAAAGTCAACCAAAAGAGCGTCGGGTTCTTATTTAAGCATTTGACTTAATCTATAGGTCTTGGGTTCGAATCCCGCTGTGCCAATGTCATTTTCAAATTTAGAATTTTCATATGTACATAATTTACCCGAAGTTCTTACGGTGAAGGAAAACATCACGATGACTGCACATATGTGAATATATTCACAGATATGTGTGAAATTAACCAACCCGGACTTGGCCACCGGTAAATCCAGGGAGAAGGCTTCACGGGGGTCATGACCCCCCCCCCCGAGCTGGTTTATCAAGAACTTGACAAAATATGTAAAAAGTTAAGCTCTTGACTAGACCACGACTATGTGACCCCCCCTGGCGCCAAAGCTGGATCCGCCTTTGGAGTTGGCCAACGCGGTTGACTATGACCTAGTCACCCTTACTTAGGGTTGGTTCCGAGCCCCCCCTGGGTCGCAGAAGATTGCGCGAGTGTTCCTATTACCCAGCCATCGGCGGACAGGAGGAACATCGCTGGGTTTTTAGTGGGTATTCCGGCCACGTCTTCTTCTTGGCCGGCAAGTCCCACATACCCCTCTGGCAACGGGGGGGATGCGTAAAGGCATTTTCTCAGCGAGAAAAAAAAGGCTCCGAGCCCCTCAGTGGGGATCTATAGTGAGCTGGTGATGATGATGAACCATTAAAGTCTGAGTGTTGTGTAGGTGTGGACGACAGGCTCAGACCCTCAGATCTCCAACTTGTTGAAGAAAGGCTACAAGCTGATACTTTCCAACTATGATGCACTTTACTTTGACTGCGGCTACGGCGCGTGGATCGGCTCAGGTCAGTCAGTATACCAATATTATAAATGCGAAAATTTAGATGGATGGATGGATGTTTGTAGACTAAACGGCTGAACGGCTCTCGATGAAATTTGGTACAGATGTCGAGGGTAGTCTTGAAGAACACATAGGCTACTCACTTTTGTTTTTTTTAAATACCGTGACGGAGTCGCTGTCTCTTTTACTCACAGATATATTACCTTCCTATCGGTGAAAGAATTTGTAAAATCGGCCTAGTACTTTTTGAGTTATTTCAATACATACAAAACTAGCAAAATACCAATTTTTCTCTTCATAATGTTAGTATAGATACAATTATTTTATTACATCTACTAGCTTTTGGCCGCGATTCCGTCTGAATTGAAAAATAAATTATAAATACCCTTCTGTTCTTATTTTTTTTATGTCATGTGATAAAATAGCGAGCGGCCACCTGTTTCGCTGAAATGGCGAAGAGACCACCCATAGACATTCAGACAGATGTTAATTGTATTATACGTGTTAGGTAACAACTGGTGTTCGCCGTACATCGGCTGGCAGAAGGTGTACGAGAACCGGCCCCGGGACATGGCCAAGGAGTACTCTCATCTTATACTCGGTATGTTCATGATCACACACACAAGTTATTTAACTGTACTTTTAGTTTTAAAATATATCATTACAAATGAACGCGGTATAAGGTTAAACTTAGGAATAAACTGGGTATAAGCAAAATTTCTACTAATATTTGCTTATACTCAGTGTATTCCCAAATTTAACTTTAAACCCCGTTTCTTTGTAAGGCTGTATAAATATGAAAAGCACAACACGAACGAAACTATATGTTAAGCCAAGCTCAATTGTTCAAGTCTGTGATTTTTGAACCGATTTAGAGTGAATTTTTTCATATGTAATGGTTAAGGTCAAATATTGAAACGACATTTAAATATGTAACTTATATAACAGTCAAAGAATTTTTAAACAAGGCCCAGTAGTTTTTGAGCCTATTTATTACAATCGAACAATTTTTTCTTAGTATAGATAAAGGGTCTGTCCCACCACTGGCTGATAGAGGCTTAGATAGCTTAAGAGATCAAGGGCGGATCCAGCTTAGGC